GCAGCCCGATTCATAACCACTACGCTACCAGAGCTCCTTATTAGTGACTAGGAAAAAGGCTAAAAAAATTATTGCTTGGAATAATTCCTTTGAGTAACTGAAAAATGAAAACAATTGTGCCCTATTTCATCCATCCCACCCCACCCAACAACCATTCAACACCTATAAAGTATAATGCTAAGTGTCATGTGAGCAGTTTCCCCCGCTTCTGATTATAGTGTCCTACTGCTGGAGCTCTGGTAGCGTAGTGGTTACTAATTGGACTGCTAACTTCAAGGTTGGCAATTCAAAACTACCAGCTGTTCTTGCAGGAGAAATAGGAGGCTTTCTGCTCTCGTAAAAATTTGCAGCCTCGGAAACCCTGCACAGGGTCACTATGAATCAGAACCAACTCCACGGTACTTAACAACAACAATAACCACTGAGGATTAATGCACTGGGCTGCAAGTTGGTTTGAATTGCAAGGTTGGTGGTTCAAGCTCACTAGCTGCTCCTTGGAAGCTGTATACAAAGTCGCTATGGGTTACGATCGACTCAACAGCACTTAACAACAACAACAACATCATCACTTATGGATCCTAGTGTGCTGCTGTAGGACAACTACTGGACAACTAATCACAAGATCATCAGTTCAAATCCACCACCTGCTCCTCGGAAACTCTAAACGGGGTTACTATGAGCCAGAACTGACTTAATGACACTAAACAATAACATCATCCCTTGTTCATAACAGTAATCTTAGAGAAGGCAGTGCTACGAACATTTAGGCTCAGATTTTGTGCTGTAATTTTGACAACATATAACCTCTGTCTTGGTAGATTAGCTTCTAATAATTTTAAATGATTTGTTGACTAGGGTTATGGCCTTTAGACCTAGTAGGTTTTTCAGAGTTTTACAGATTAGAAGAAATAGCAAAAATCCTTTAATGTCAGAATTAAGTTATTATTCTGGATATTTCCATATGTTTCTGACATTAGAAATAATTTTATTTTTTTAACTGTTATGGGTTTATTAGAAGTACCTGTTTGATCTTATTAAATGAAACAATTTTTGTTTTAAAACGTTGGCTATATAAATCCTCTTATTGATGTTAAAATTTGGTATTAAAATACTCTGAGAAATTTTTTTAAATGGTCTGAAATCTATGTCTTTGGGAAGCTCATCTGTGTTTGATAATAAGGTCCAGTTTATATGTCAGGAATTCCCTAGTGTTGTCAGAGCTTAAATGACCTAACAGCCTGCAAATGTCACATTTAAAATTCTGTCTTCATGGCTGACTCTCAGTATAAATGAATTAAACAGCAGAGCAGGCAGCAAGTCAATATGTTCTTAACAGTAAGAGTGAGCAATGAAACAGTCTGTGATTTGTTCAGAATAGGTAAATAGAATCTGCCCTGAATAGTTCACCTAGAATAAAATGTGAAACAGGAAACAGAATTAACCTTTAAGATGGCTGACCAGATGAAATGTCGGTAATATTTTTACAGCATGAGCAAACTGATAAACTGGTTAGTTTATGTAGCAGCCTTGCTTTGCTATCATATACTGGGTAAATTCAAAGTTGAAAATTTTTTATTGTTAATTTTTATTTATGTATTTTTTGGTAGTACAAGAGATTGTGTTAACTTTAAAATGGCATTTTAAACATTCTCATTAAAATCCTCTACTACCTGATTTTATAAAAATTATATATTTAAGATCAAATTATTGTTGTTATTGCTGTTGTTTGCCATTGAGTTGGTTCTGACTCATAGCAACCTTGCATAGGGTTTCTGAGGAGTGACTGGTGTGTTTGAACCGCCAATCCTCTATTAGCAGTCTAGTGCTTGTGCTAGTAGGGAGATATTTATTTATTCTTTATATTTGTTGAATATAATTCTGTTCTCAAGGGGTGATCAGAACAGGTCATTGTTAATACCAGATTCTTCCTGATTCATTTTGTTTCTCTTTACTGGCAGTCCTGTTGCCATTGACCTATCCAAGTGATCTTTAAGCAACATCTGACTTATGTCACCACAAGTGTCTTTATAAGAAGATCCTTTGAAAGCAATTTTTCCTAACAAATAGTGATACTTATAATTAAGTTCAACCAATCCCACAAAAGGTTTTTAATGGATAATATAGCTAAATTATAATACTATTGTAGTTTATAACTACATAAAAATAGTCTGTAACTACTTTTTTGGAAAATATCTGTCCTTCCTTGAATATTGTAGTGTGCTTTGCCTTTGAATATTTTGGTTTATCATTTTTATCATGAACTAACTAATTTAATTATATTTTATAATCTTTGTGAACATTTTTGATTTCTTAATGATCTCTTCAGCATCTTGACTTTGCCATGTGCTCATGGATGAATAGATATAGATGGATTTTTAATGGTATCTTGAGAAGGATGAAGATCTTTGCCTTTCCTTCTTCTAACCAGAAGCCAGTGATTCTTACTGGTAGCACAGTTGGGAAGATGCTGAAGAGATGAGGATTTTTGGGGAGAAAAGCAGGGATGGGTCTATAACATAGAGGGGAATGAATCTTGGTCATTTAAGTAATTCATTTATTGTGTATGTTATTTGGACAGCTTTTTAAAATTCAGAATTGGACAGGATTCCCAGTATTGCCACTTAATCTTGCCAAATTATTTTTCATTGTCCTTGAGGTCCTAGTAAATATGATTTTGCATCTAGAAAACCAAAGACAAATTAAGTTATGGGCAAAATAATTCATTAGAAGATCTAGT